AACTTGACAAGATAAAGTTTTGAAGGCGTCTTACTTACATCAGGAGAGGAGGAAAAGAAAACGCTTGAGTTGTAGAAGATTTCCACATGAAGACGTACCAGAAGAAGTGTCAAGGTTCATGCTGACATTACATCCTGCTGTTCCAAATCCAATCTCCTGCTCTTCCAATTCAAGTTCTCAAAGTGATAAGTTAGAGTTTGTGGTGGTGGTGTGTCACCATTTACAGAAACATTGTAACAGAAATCATTGCCAAGCAGTGCTGCAGTTTCGTTGCTCGATACTTGAGTAAGGTTGGAGTTGAGGTTTTGTATGGCTTGCACAAGAGGGGTGTAGGAATCTGGTGTGAAATAGCTGAATGCAAACATGGAATCAATGATCGTTCCTCCAGTTCCATTTGCAAGAATGCCTTTCACCAGAAAAGTCAACGTGTCGTTGATATTTATGGATCTCAAACGGATGTAATGCAACGCAGTGGAATTTGGGTTTACGATCATTGGAGAGTAAGAAAGAGAGGAGTTCGATGATTTCTTATAGTTGCCGAACACGATTTTGCTACTAAACATATCAGATGGAACACAATAGATAAACGTGCTTGTATAGTCCATTTCATATCCAAACTATGTACCACTCTCATCACACTAAAAGGATAATCGAGCCATGGGATTTTGGGTGTGTTTCAGGATAGAGAGATTGAAGAATGCAAAGAGCTGCATTGTTTTCTCTCTGCAAAGGTGTATCGATTGGCTCTTTGTGGATGACACTGCTGCTGAAGTATTGTAATTATTGCCAAGTAATGTATGCTATTAATCATGAGATGCTTTTTGATTATGATTATTGGACATAGTTTTCGTGAGCAGAATCAATTTAGAGTGAGTAGTGTTACAAAATAAACAGTCAAAAGTGTTTACATGAGTTTACAATGAGTTTCTTTATTGTCTAACTTTTTAGCTTCTCCAATGCTTGTTTTACAGCTTGAGTGCTTACAATTTTGTTAAGTAAATTTCTTATTGTCTTTAATTCATAATATTTATGCCCTTTTCTGTTTTTGAATGTGTGGATGACAATTCCATTGTTGGGTTGTAAGCAAAAAAGCTCTGGTTTGTTGTTCACAATCACCATGTGGTTGAGATTCCATCCTAATCTTGAGAAATCTTTTACAACTTTTTTCTATCTGACTTCCTTTGTCAAATACAAATCTCTGTAGAGATGATGGGCAAAGAGATTTCCAATTGGGTCGAGCTTGTCCAAAATTTTGTCTGTGTATACCTTCATTGCTCGAGTAAAAACTATAATCTTATATATCTTACTCATCTTTTTTAGAAAGTTAGCCTTTTTGCCATAAGGTAGTGCTCTGAAAGAATAGTTTTCCCATTGAAGAGCTTAAGGGATGCTATGGCCTTTTGGGCATGGATTAGTGTATTGTTTATGTCCAACACAAGTTCTCTAAAGCTGGTGGTAATAGCAAAAAATCATTTGACAACTTCACCTTTTTGTTCTTATCTTTGGTGGTGATATTAAACATTGCAAAACTCCACTCTCTATACTTTTGCAGCCTCTTCATAGCTATAAAGAAAAATAGAAAGAATATAAGCCCTAACTTAATTGCAACGAATCTTTATAAATTAAGTTAATACACATGTTGCTCGGCCAGAATTATGGAAGTAGAAATTCAACAATGATGCCAACCCCAACACTGAGAGTCTTTAGGCAGCTCAAGCTCCACACTCAGGATTTTTTTAGCAAGCAGCCAACAGCAAGACCCAAACAACACTCTCGAGCTCAAAGGGCATGCTGTAGATGAATTCCTTAGCTTTGTCTAACTCTTTGGCCCTTGCAAACATGTCAACAAGCCCACAGTAGTGTTTTCCTATGGGTTCAACTCCATAGTCCCAGATCATTAATTAGAAGTAGTCCTGAGAGATCTTCACCACGCCTGAGTGGCAGCATGCCACAAGCATGCTCATAAAGACAATGTGATCAGGCATTGTGCTCTCCTAGATGGTCCTATGGAAGGTTTCCAAGGCATTGGTTACATGCCTAGTGGAAGCATACATGGCCACCATTGCAGTCCATGAGACCAAGTCTTGCTCTAGCATTCTCTCGAACCAAACTCAAGCTTCCAAGAGGAGTCCCTTGTGAGTGAAGCCTGCCACCATTGCCATCCAGTTGATCACATCATGCTCCTCAGTCACCTGGAAGAGGCTCATCACTTCTTGGAGGTGGCCGTTCCAGAGATAGGCCAAGAGGAGCACTGTGCTCGCCGTCTTGCTATCATAAGGCATTTTCAAGATGGTTTCTAGAGGCAAGCATATGGATCATTGTCGTCCAAGAGATCTTGTTGCGGTGAGCCATCTTTTGGAAAGAATCTAGTGCCTTGTACAAATGCCCATTCGCGGCATATGGGCAAATCATGGAGTTCCAAGCCACCACGTCTTTGTTTGGCAGCCTCTCAGACAAAGGTTTAGCCTTTCCCACGGAGCCGTTAGATGCGTAGCCGTCAATCATAGCTGTAAATGCCACCTCATTAAAATTCGGGGCATCTTCAAAGAGAATCTTTGCATGCTCCATATGCCCTGCCTGGGCATATGCTGTGATCATGGTCGTCCATGTTACTACATTCCTTGTGGGCATTCTATCAAAGAAATCTTTAGCTTCATCCAGCCCCTGGTTCTGGTAGTGGCCTTGTACCATGGCCGTCCACGCCACCACGTCCTTTTGGGGCAGCTAATAGAAACACCTCACGCGCGCGAGAGAGATGCCCGTTATGGGACGATCATGGCGGTGCTAGAAACGAGGGTTTGCTCAGGCATAGAGTGGAATACCGCCTCCGCCTCGCCGAGATTGCCACTCTGCGAGTACATCTCGATGATCGTGTTCCAGGTGATGGAATTCTTTGGCAGGGATGCGATCGAAGAGCTGCTTGGCGCGCTACACGTCCCCGGCCGAGATCATGGCGTTAATCTCCTGCCGCGGCATGCTTTCCAGGACCGATCGCGCCTGCTCCAGGTCGTAGTTGGGAATGTAGGCCTGGAGGGTGAGATTCCAAGAGAAGAGATTGCGATCCGAGGTAGAATCGAAGACCGATCGCGCTTCCTCCAGGCAGCCGCAGCGGCCATACATCTGGACGAGGAGATTTCGCAGGAAGACGCTGTTATTGTGGTCGCTGTGAAGGATCTGGGCGTGGATCCGGCGGCCATCGTTCGGATTGTTGCAAGATCTGACGAGGGCGGCAAGCTCTGGACGCCAAGAACGCGCATCGCATCATGGCCGTTGGATGATGGGGCGTCCGACCTGGCAGGTTCTAGCTACCAGCCACGAAGTTTTCATGGCACGCGGCGAGAACTCCAACTCCAAATGCCGGAGGCAACGACACAATTAATTTCCATCGTTTCTTGTGGCTTGGATGGATTTCTCTTGCTGCGAGTTCAGCAAGTTGTCCGATGAATGACTTGTTTGTCTTTGCAAATCCCACCAGGCCTGATGTATTGATAATTCCCAGCCATGTCGTGCTTTCTCGACCACATCCAAGTGACATTCTAAGACTTTTATTGCCTCTAGTTTTACGTGGAGTTTTCATGGTTACAACATCTCACTGGCTGAGGAGTATTTGGGGCTGTATAAGCAAGTTGTGGATGAAGATCCGCAAGCGTTTGTGGAGAAATCAGGGATCTCGAGCAGAAAGGAGAGGTGCAAGGAATTCTAGTGTATGATGTGGATGATACCGGTGAAGAGCGGGGTTGTGCTGCATGGGAGGAGTTCCCAAATTGAGATTCATGGCGCCGTTATCTACATAGAAACTCGTCTCAAGGCCTTCCGTCTCCTCCTCTCAAAAACTCGGTGGAGTTGGCTGGAGTTCGTCTTCGCTCGAGATCTTCTATATCTGCTTGATTTAATTGGTAACACACAAACATGGCAACTTAATTTAGTTTTACAAATATTATTTCTTTTTATTCCATGCTTAGAAACTTTATACAAACGGAAATCTGTTGCAAGAAGAGCAACTACAACAACACAAGTACTAGGTAGAGATGGACAGCTGCTTCTAGAATACTACTCATGTCGCAGCTCCATCGTATCTAGATAGTAGCTTTCACTTGTGGCAGCTGCAATCGTTGCAGGAGCAGTTTGGCCCACACTTGCATCCATTCTCCTCTCGCGACATGACAGATTCCCCAGAGATTCCAGACGAGGCGGAGACAATGCTGCTCAAGCTGTGTCACACGACCTCGTGATTAGCCAAACCAGCCGCCAAAGATTTCCCAAATTTGAAATTCGAAAAAAAGTGCACGAACCTCATGTCTCCAGCAGCCTCTCGCATGAGCAGAGTGCTCTCATCAAAGGAGCGGCCGCACCTAGGACATCACAAGCCAAGGATGTGAGAACCCGCGAATTCACAAAGAGGGCTTTCACAGGCCCGGCGAAATCAAAGCTCCGGGGCGCTCGAAAACTCACTTGCAGCCGCTGCCGCAGGAGCAGTTCGACCCGCAGTTGCAGTTGGCACTTCCGCAGCTAGACATTTTCGAGCGATCGAAGCGAAGAAGAAAAACTAGCGAGAGAAGAAAGCAGCTAAGCTATACACCAAAAATACTCTAACTTCCCGTGCGTTTTATTGGCTGATCGACCGGCTGTAGCCGGTAGACACGACGCCCTGTACCGTGGAACCCACCGGCTACAGGCAGTCGTTCAACCTTATGGCACGTAAAGTTGCCCCTCACCGCCACGTGCACGTCGCGACGAGGGGTAAAAACCAAGGAGCACGGCACCTCGGGACCACGTGGCAAGCTTCCATTGCTTACAACTCTACGGTGCACGACAAAGTGGCACCAATAATGCCAACAAGTGGAATTTTCTGTGACGGAATCAGTTTTGATGATGCCAAATAAGCGGCCACATTTTGTTTTGACTCGGATATTCCGTGATATTTTTTGGTTTTCCCAATGTTGACCTTCTTGTACTACAATACTTGTACTGCAGCAAACGTAATAGATGATACCTTTGGCTGAAGCGTCACTCGAAGAGGTAAGCAGCACCACCAAGTTAGCTAGCTCTAATATCCCGGAGATTTCACAATCAACGTCTAGGTTGGCTCGACCGAATCAAACCAACCCAACAAAAATGAAGTCATTCTTATAGCTTTGTCCCCACCAGATCCGTCTTATAGATAACACAAACGACCTTGCCTTTTAGGGTTCTTCATGGCGACGGCGCTTCCCCGCTTCTACTGCGACAGCCTGCCCACTTCAAAGGTATAAAAACGGACCCTCTCCTTTGTCTCGATTCGGTCGATTATAGGATAGAATGTCGCTGCGCTACAGGGCACGGCTGTGGAGATTGATGGGCAAGAGTTTTGGCACATGACAAAGGCCTTGCGGCTTGGACAAGATCAAAGGTTTACTTTGTTTGTTGGTGTCTCCGGAAGAAAGAATTTCTTACAACTTTGGACTTACAGGGTCGAGCTGTTTAACGGGCGGGGCGGCATTGTCACCGCGGCTGTCTCGGCTGTTAGAAGGTCCAATGTGGAGCTTGTGGCCGTGGAGGATCTTTGCACGCTTCCACCACCAGTCGACAGCGAGAATTGGCATCTAGTGGCTGCTTTCGGTATGCTACCAAATCGCAAAACATTGTAGCCATCTAGCCGGCGATTTCATGAATCCTTGCTTTTTCTTTCCAGCCGATTTGAAAGGTGGACGAGCCGACTGGATGGTCGAGAAATGCACGGTGTGGCTTGGAAGAAAAGTAAACTCCTAGCTTGTGTTCTTATAGTGTCTTTTTCGCTTTGGTCCCAGGAGCTAGGAGCGAGAACCTTGACTCCACTCGCAACCGAGAGGTCCACCGGAGTTTGTAGCAACAGGAGCACTAGATGGAAACGGGTTGTCCTCGCTGCTACCAAGCAATGTTGGTCACTTTTGTAAGATTGTAGCCTTATTCTTTTCTTTCTAAATTGATGTTTCCTGCTTTGCAGGTCAAAGGCTACACTCTATGGAGCTGCGAGAGTCTCTTAACATCAGCTCACTCAAATCACAGGTGCTAAAAAACAATTAAGACAGTGCTAAGAAACTAGCTATGACTGAATCCGCAACTTGAAGGTTTCTGGATCATCCCACGTTTCTTTGCTAGCCACAGCAGGCGCCACGGAAATTGTCGAAGTTTTCAACGATTCAAGCAAAGATATCAGAGGAGGAACTCTCATTGTTGGACCAGAAGGAGGTAAAAGCTTGTCCAAATTTCCTCGAAAGCTTTTGATGATTTTTTCTTCCAACTTTTTTGTTCTGTTGATAGATTTCACAGAAGAGGAAAAGTATGATCTTGTAGCAGCCGGTGCCATGCCTGTTGGTCTGGGCCATCGGAGGCTACGAGTCGAGACCGCGGCCATCGCCATGCTTGCAACAGTGATGATGGTGTCCGAGGCAAAAGCTACAAGAAGAAAAGCAAAAGCCCTGTGAGAATCTAGTGCAAAGTTGCTCTCTTTTTTTGTCTAGGGCTTTGATTGATGCTACCATGGCCAAGCTTGGACTTCGCTCCATCTTCATGCTCATGGCGATAATCCTCCTGGCAGTGGGTCTGTACCAGAGGCTTTGGGTCGTGCAAATGGACCTCAACCACGAGCGCCACAACAGGTATCTGTCTGATCGATTGCTACATTCTTCCTTTTTTCTCTTTTGCCTGGATCCAGACAGATCTACCAAAAACTTTACAATGAAGCGCTAGACGAGGTCGCCGAGTGGAGGAAGAAGCTCGACGTGGAGCTCGAGAGTAGCGAGAAACACCAACAAAGGTTGCAACAAGTTAAGCTCTCTCTTTCTCTCCATGCCTCAATGAGAGGGTTCTTAACCAGCGCGATTCCTTCCAGATGACTGACTTGATGCGCGAGAGGGAGCGCACGATTCAGCTGCTTCTCCAGGAAAAGCTCAAGCTCGATCAGGTATGCAAGTCTATTTCCTCGCTCCAAGTTGCTAAACGTGGTCTCGTCTCCAGGAGATCAAACGCCTAAACAAGAGCCAGGAGCTTCCAGTGAAACAAAGTCAAATGTAGTCAACCATTTTCAAAGAATCGTAACTAGAGGTGGCGTTCTTCTCTTTCTTCTTCGTGGTCGCTAGGGCTTTCTCCTCGGGCCCCAGCTATGGCGATCGCCGCGGCGGAATAACGCGCTCACGGCTCGCGAGCGGCCTCGCGGCGGAATAACGCGCTCACGGCTCGCGAGCGGCCTCGCGGCGCACGCGAATCTCCGCGAGAGGAGTTTTATCTCGCGGAGAGTCATGTTCTCGGCATTCGCCCACAGCGGGCATTTGCGAGAGGCATTGCAGCTCTTCTACAGACTGGATCTTCTCACTTTCACCATGGCATTCGGTGCGTGCTCGCGCGTTGGAAGCTTGTTAGAGGCCCGGGATTTGTACGCGAGATTTGCCGTGGCATCTGCGCGCTCGCAACGCTTTGATTTACATGTTTGCGGAGTGTGGGAGCCTGGACAAGGCCCGGGGGCGTTTTCGATGGGATGGATCACAGGAACTCTGTGAACACCATCTTCACGGCCTATGGAAACGATGAGGTACTTCGCCTTCTTCGAGAATTTGACTTGAGTGGATTTGTAGCAGACTCCGGTCACCTATCTCGCGATCATCAAAGGCTGCTCCAGCTTGAAACGAGGCAAGGAGATCCATGCTCTGTGATTTAACTCCGGGAGCTTGCGAGATGCCAGAGAGATGTTCGACTCTCTCGTCGCTTTCAACGCCATGATCGCGCGCGGGTGATTTTTAGCGGCGTGCGGCGGAACTATATCCTGGACAACTCTCCTCAACATGTACGCTCGGTGCGGCAGCCTCCACGACGCGAATAAGGTACGCTGCTTACGTAATGGTGGCTGTTTACGCTCTCCATGGCCGCCACCGCAAGGCTATTGTTTGTGGTAGTTCAGGGTCCCAAACCTCTCTAACATATGTGAGAACAATGATCACCTTCATGTGGCAATATTGTTTACGGGCATCCTATCAAAAAATATTAGCTTGCTTGAGATCACTATGGAATGAGTAATTGGCTACTTGAATATGTCCTGTTGTCTTGGGTTTATAGGGATTATTTTGTACTTAAGGTACTTGACCTTAACTAGCAAGTGGAGATCATCATTGTCATTTTTGTGTTATGGACGGCCGAATACCATGACTAGGTTCACAAATAAAGCAATAGCACAGCAAAAGGTCATGAGCAAGTCTAGCTAGCATTGGGAGCCTTGATGAGTTGTGAAAACAGGAAAAATCATCTGCATATAGGAGGAGGTACAAGTAGAGATCAGCCATGAAAATGTTGGAAAGATCTCCGTCATGAAAGAGTGTTTCTAATATCAATATAGGGGATAAGGGACACCTGCTTCACACCTATTGTGTATTTTGCTTTTTACAAGTTTTGCATAAAAGGCAAGTTGACCTTCTATGCATTCTGTGAGAATTGTTGCATAGAGTTGCTTAATGGCCTATATCAGCTCTGGTGGAGTCCATCTCAGTGTTCTACACCATGGACGCATGGACGTGGAGCCGAACTCGGTGACTTTCACCAACACCATTGCTGCTTAGCTCGATGCTGGAGAACTCGGAAGCTCCACTCACGGATACAGTCCCGTCGCATCAAGCTAGCTCGCGGCCGAGAACTCTCTACTGAAGATGTACGCAAGCTGCGGAAGCCCGAGAGCTCCTTCGAGCTGATAAGCAGGAAGGACGCATCGTCCTAGAACGCTTTGATAGTGCCTTACATCCAGCAAAACGGGTGCTGCGGCGCCCTTGCTCTCGCGAAGAGACCTCGAAGGCATCAAGCTGAACTCCGTCACCTTCGTTTACTTGATCACGGCCATCGCTGCTGCCGGCAGCTCCGGGTGTACGGCCAGGCGAATCCACTCACGGGTTCTCGAGCGCTCCTGGCAGCCGGAGGCCATGGTGGTGATAGCAACGCCTTGATCAACATGTATGCCAGTCTAGACCGCGCCGCCAGAGTGTTCGAGGAGATGCCGGTGAAGAACGACACGTCCTGGACGGCGCCCAAGCTCTCGAGCTCTACCATGAATGGAGCTCCACGGCGAGGGACCATGCGATATAACACTTAGTGTGGTCCTGCTCGCTTGCAATCACTCGGGTCTCCAGGAAGAAGCGTGGTATCACTTTACTTACACGTCGCGAGACTATGGAATGGAGCTGAAGAGAGTCCACTACCATTGCATGCTCGGTGTCTTTGCGCGGCAGGATATCTTGGAGGAGGCGTGCCATTTGCTAACAACGATGCCCTGCGAGGGTGTGCTTTCATGACCCATGGCGTTGGAACCATGCCGTCATAGCCTAAACATGAATGTAAAAATTATCTATGAATCAAAGATCAAATTCGAAGATTAAGTTTGCACATTTTATATTTCTAGAAACCTTTTATGTTAGTAAAATATATCATTTTAACATCAATCATGGCATCGTAAAGAAATATAAGAGCTTGGCATCAATACTTTTTCTATATATTTAAATGAATTTTACAACACATTATTCACATCTTTTGCGTGGAGAACGAAAACACACAATCAAGCTCTTCTACCTGGTTCTTCAATGGAGTTCATCATCTATATATTCACTTCAGTATCAACAGAGGTTCCTGCGTGTGTGTACACGATTAGAATCCATGAAACTTCCTTTGAAACTTCGGCTGCCTTTGCAGCTTTCTTGCCAAGTTTGCGCTCCGTTTCTCTGTACAACTCATCTTCACACTGCTAATGGTTTTGTCCATCTTCAGGAGGTTCACCTCGATTCAGGATATCTTGTGGTTGTAGTTTCTTGTCTAAAGAACACACCTAGATTAACAAACTCAGAACGAAAAAGAAGTTCGCAATATACCTTATCAAGACCAGACCGACCTTCAGCCTTTAGAACATCAAAACTGACAATAGCTTAACCTCCGCATAAGACTTCAATCCGTTAGAATTAGAAACAATTAAAATGTTCATGCAACACTTCCTTCATCTTTGTTTGCAGACCAACCAAGGTTGCTGTAACATGCTTACCTCATCACACTTCTTTAGACAAGGAATTGAGGTCTTTTTCTTTTCCCCCAGTCAATCCGGCTTCTTCCTCCTCGGACTCTGTGTAGAATGCCAGTTTTTTGCATGGCGGCCTCGGCCACGGCGCCCGAGCTCTCGAGCTCTACCATGGACCACGGTAACTCTTCCCTTGTGCTCCTGCTCGCTTGCAACCGCTCGGTGTCGTGGTATCACATCACTGCGAGACTACGCCGTGGAGCTGGAGAGAGTCCACTACCATTGCATGCTCGGCGTCCTTGCGCGACAGGGCCTCTTGGATGACCCATGGCGATCACAAGCTTGGAACTCTGGCCGTCGAGCGCTTAAGCACGAATGTGACAACCACTTTATTTCAAGTTCGGAAATTTGTGCTAGCCAAATCTAATACTTCTGCTCAAGTTTGTCCGGATGCCGGTAGGCTCTCCACCGTAAGGGCCTTTTCCCTCTCTAATTGCACGCACTTGACCCTTTCGCCTGGTCACTGCTTTCCCATGCTTCATCTGAGGAGAGAAGAAAAGAGTTGTCAAACAGATAACACAATTAAGTTCTTCTACCTTGTACTTCTTCCGAGGGTTCTTCGACAGTTTCTTACGATATGGAGTTAGCCCTCGGTTTTTCACCATCTGTATATTATCTTCAGTACACACGGACAAACAGACAGCACGTCATTTACCTCTTCGGTGATAAGCCGTTTACCGGTGTAAGTTTCCTCTTCCGCCTTGACAACCGGGTTCCTGCGCGTGCACGAATTAGAATCCATGAATCTAACCCCAAACTTACTTTGAAACTTCGGCTGCCTTTGCAGCTTTCTTGGCAAGTTTGCGCTCCTTCGTTTCTTTATAGAACTCATCTTCGAACTGCTTATGGTCTTCCTCATTTTGTCCATCTTCAGGAGGTTCACTTCGATTCAAGATGTGCTGTTCTCGCTTTCGCCTCCTTTCCCCAAGATCTTCTTTCACGGGTAAGTCGACATCACCTGAATTTATCTGAAAAAAACAAGTAAAAACACAGTAAACGTGAAGGTAAGCTTACTTTTGGTTTCTTTTGACGTTTTCCAGCTTCAGCAATGACTTGTAGCATTTTCTTTGGCTGCAAATCGGCATTCGTACCATAATCATCTCCCAAGTCATCGAGCAAGCCCCCGTGCCTGCCAGCATGTTATTTATCGAATACTCCCTTGTATTCTTTGAATCATTTACCGTTTCTTCGACTTCTTTGACTTTGAGTCTGGTATTCGGGCAGGCTCAAGAAGACTGTCCCGTTTGGCCTTCTCTTCTAGCCTTTTCATTTCCCTGAGCATGCTTTTACTTTCCTCTCCGATCAGCTGACCTGACTGCACCCGTATGTTAGCTAGTTCATGCTTTATATCAAAACTAGTTGTCCAAACCTTATCTGAAGCAGAGGTGCTAGTAACTGGCTGCTGCTTCTCCAAAATTGGAATCTCGCCAATAGGAATACTATTTAAGTCCTGCATAACAATCACAGTTTCCTAGTGAGAACAAAAGAACACAATCCATACCTTCTCAATATGCTTGGGGGCATTTAACAGATCCGGATCTATTGACACGAACCTGTCAACTTGTGGTTGTAGTTTCTTGTCTAAAGAATGTACCTGCAGGTTGCCAAGATAAAAAAAACTCAGAAGGAAATTAAGTTCGCAATATACCTTCTCAAGCAGCATACGTATCTCCACAAGCCTTGCAATGACTGGATGGTCACATACAGACCGACCTTCAGCCTTTAGGAGAAGATAGAAAACGATTGATTGACAGTAGCTTAATAGAAGCATGTGCTTGAGCTCCGCGTAAGACTTCAACTCCTTCGCAACTTTCCCGATTTCAATCTGTTAACAGTGCATTAGAAACAGTTAAAATGTTGCTTTACAACCTTCTTCAGAAGCGGTTGTACTTTGTGCTCTAGTTCATACAACGCTTCCTTCAATTCTGCTTGCAAACCAACCAACTCTGGGGCGTTGCTGCAACACGTAACCAAAATAAAATTTTCCATTACAACAGTAGATGCTTACCTCATCACTACTCGC